CCCCAAAACCCCAAAACCCCCAAAACCCCAAAACCCCAAAACCCCAAAACCCCAGAGGAAGCAGACAAAGGAGTAATAATAAATTATTAAGTCATGGATAAATTCAAGAAGAGGAAAGCTTCTGGTAGGTTCTATCAGGTTGTATCACCACCAATGTCTCATCAGCAGGCGGAACGAGGGATTGAAGACTAGACAAACTCTATTCTCCATCATAGAATGTTTTAAAGCTTTAGAGCTGTTTAATCTTTGTCTTGAGGCTATAGATTTGAGCAATTTTAATTTCTAATGACTCATTTTGATCAATAGTAACAGCTGAAATGTGTTTAAATCTTTGGCTTTAGTCAGGGACGTTAGTGATTTATGGGCTTTATGGAAAGATTTAGGCTAATTTCGGGAGAATTGGAAACTTACATTGGACAATCTGGATTCAACCAAAGGCAGCTCAAGTTGTTATCAGCCTGGTGTCTTAGCTTAGCAATGCTGGATATCTTTAGCTTCATCAGGATTCATTCGTTCATCTAAACTAAAGAGCTCTCCTTATAACTAACCAGCTGAGCTTCAGGAAGTCTAAAGAATTTTTTAAAGAGTCCAGAAGTTTCAGATATCTGACAAAAAGGTTCATGAAGAAGTTTTAGCCCTTCATGGGGGATTTACAAAGCTAATCAGATAGTTAGCCGGCCCATGTGGAACCTCTAGCTTTATTTTGGGGGATTTCCTGCTCGAATTACTTAAGAAATACAAGGAATTGTTTTTAAAGAAGATACGCATAGACCAATGGGAGATATTCTAGTTTTCGGACATTATCCAGCCACTTTAAGTGTCTGGATACGTCCTGATTGCACGCCCATGCACATAGTTTAGTGCCAAACCTCCCTTGAGTGGAGAGCGGTTAGTAAAGATTGCATTTTCAGTAGTTGTTTTAGCACAGGTCTCATACTCTTCAGTGTTCCACTTATTTTTAATATATCTGAGCATGAGATACAAGGTGGCTGGCAGTAGGAATTGGAGGGAAGGATGAACTACTTGGCTTTGGAGACAACTTTTAGGTCATTCTGAGTTGATAGAGGTTGGGGGATTTCAGTATTCTGCTGAAGAGTTAGCTGGGCGGATTTATGATAAGACCTCTTTTTAAAATCTCAGAGAATTTTGAATAGAGATAAATTAGAGAAGCTTAGTCTTAAATAATTCCTTGAATAGCGAAATGAAGAGAGAGGTCATCAAGCACCGTATTTAAAGAGGGAAGTGAATACTGAGTTGAATACACAGCTGGTAATAACTTGTTCAACAATTGCTCCAAATAAGGAAATCTTAGAATTAGACGACATCTCATTGAACCTTTATCAGAGAGTATGTAAGCCTCGGGTGAAGATACCTCCGGCTAGCTACACTGGAAAGAAGAAAGCTTTCAGTAAGCAAGCCTTTGATGCCTTTTTGGAGATGTGCAGATGCCCTATTTGTCTGAATTTCATGGAAGATCCTGTGATGACCACTACCTGATACCACAAGTTCTGTAAATAAATGCATTGAGAACATCATTAGCCGGCCTAAATAAGGAGTGCCCTGTGTGCAGACTCCCGCTTGGCTGCAGGAGGCTCCTTGTCAAAGACAAGAAATTAGAAAAAATTATTGCATCTCTGATTCCAGATGTAGACGATTACTTAACTTATGAGCAAAGCGAGACTCAGAGACACATCAAGTCCCGGGAAAATCAGAGAAGGATGAAAATGCTAAAGAAAATCAGGGAAGAGCAGATCGCCACTGAGGAAAGGATCAAGCAGGAGAAGTTACTTAAAAGAGAAACTAAGAAGACTAAAAAGAGGGATAAGAAGGCTAAGAGCAAGAGGAGGGTATAAATTATTATCTTCAGGTCAAAATTACCCTGAATCTTCCTAATGTAGATGTAACTTTTGAAACCCTGGACTTCAATTTCGAAATCTTTGCCTGGGGTTTTGGGGTTTTGGGGTTTTGGGGTTTTGGGGTTTTGGGGTTTTGGGG